GTATGTGGTCCCTCCCCCTAGTCCTGGGGAGCTCCTCCAGGGTATGGACCATGTCTTTCAAGGACGCAGCTTTTTTTTTTTTTTTTTTTGCGGTACGCGGGCCTCTCACCGCTGTGGCCTCTCCCGCCGTGGAGCACAGGCTCCTGACGCGCAGGTTCAGCGGCCATGGCTCACGGGCCCAGCTGCTCCGCGGCATGTGGGATCTTCCCGGACCGGGGCACGAACCCGTGTCCCCTGCATCGGCAGGCGGACTCTCAACCACTGCGCCACCAGGGAAGCCCAAGGATGTAGCTTTGACATGGAAGCACATGGCCAGCAGCAGGCTTTTGAGAGATGTTCCAGGCGGCTGTGGGCTGAGTTTGGAGGTAGCCGCTGAGGATTTTGAAGCGTCTCCTTTCCAAACTATAAGATGAGGTAATTGTCTTCCTTGTTCAGGAGGATGTGGTGAGTATAAAATGTGCTAACGTGTGTGCCAGCACTTTAGAAAGGCTGGTACTGTATCAAGGGAGGTCATGTTGTCCACCTCTGTTTCCTCTATCACCCTTTTCAATTCTCACAGTCCCTCTGAGACTGTCTTTACCATTTACTTCTGCCCTGTACTCTCCCACTTTCCTTCCTTCCTTGGGCAGAGGAAGCCATGAGTTAAAAACATCTGTGTGTCTGGTTCCATATCTCTTTGTCTCTGTCGCTTCCAGATATGTATTTGAAATGCTGTTGTGTCTCTCAATCTGTGTATGCATGTTAGGACCGTCGGGGAGAATATGGCTCCACGCTTGATGGGAACACGCTGCTCTGGGTGTGTTTATGGCATCTTTCGTCACTTCTCCTGCTGTACATGTGCTCTTCCTGAGTTGTAAGCATTTTTGATAATAAGAAAAATGTTCTCTTAGATTAAACCTAATATTTGACCTCCTACTACCCTGATAAAACAACAGAGTTTTTTGCACCTAGGGTACCCTGCCTTTTTTCTAATACCTGGTTGACGGTACCATAGAATCAGTTCAGAGGTGATGTTTTCAGTGCAAGATGCTACTTGGGCTGGTGTATGAGGGTAAGAGATGAAACTGATTCCTAAACAGTAGAAGAGCTGAGCTTCTTTGCTTACATTAACATCTTCTTTTTCCTTTGCCCTTTCACCGTTAAAAAAAAAAGATGACCTGTGTGAGAGGGTGGGGTGAACAGCAGGGAGAGCCTTCTAGTAATGTATCTTGGCAGAATCCTGACACCTTTTGTGGGGAGGGGCCTCATTAAGCTAAGTGTCCCCTGAAAAGCCGTCACGTTAACCTCTTTTGGCCTGAATTTTTGTGGGTTTTTTTAACTAACCTTAGGCTGGAGGTTCTTGCAAAGGTAGAAGTGTCTTCTGTGGACACAAAGGAATGAAAACATGATTCATTGAGTTTTTGTCATTGTGATGGAAACAAGGCCGGGAGCTGTCCTGTGGGGTGTGCTGAAACTCCTCAGGACCTGGGAGGTAATGGAGGGTCTTGTTCAGGTTACTTACTGGGGGTTGGATTCTGTGAGCAGCTCGGCCCCATGGCGCTTCCCGGGTCTCCCTTTCACAGATCCCTTCCACCCAGAGCCTCAAGTCATCCAACTACACTTTTGGAAGCCACTGTCTATTCAAACCCACCACTGTGTAACAAAATAATGAGAAAATTCCTCATTAGACCATGGAAATGCAGAGGAGCCCCTGTTGGATTAGCTGACACACTGCTGCTTGGAAGAGGAGCAAAAAATGCTGGTCTAGCAGGGGTCTCAGCTCCGACTCATTCTCCCTGAGCCCAAGGGTCAGGCCGGGGATGGTGGGGAGGCAGGCAGAACATGCGTATGTTTATTCAGCCCAGCAGCACTCACTGAGTGCCTGGTGATGGAGCAGAAAGACGTAACCTTCCCACCTCCTAGGAGGGGAGGTGAACAGATGTGAACAAGAGAACAGGATTGCTCACTGTGGTGGGAGGGCCAGAAGCCACAGGGCAGCACTCAGCCCTGACTCGGTCCTGACTCAGCCTGGGGATGGAGAAGGATCAGGGCTCTCTTCAGGTGGGGATGCTCGAGCTAGGTCTTAAAGGGGGAGGGGCTTTAAATGGGTGGAGGGAACCGGGAGGGGTGACAGGAAGGGCACGCCGGAAAGGGGAGTGCCTGCAGATGTCCTTTAAAAAATCAGTTCAGGGCTTCCCTGGTGGCACAGTGGTTGAGAGTCCGCCTGCCGATGCAGGGGACGCGGGTTCGTGCCCCGGTCCGGGAAGATCCCACATGCCGCGGAGCGGCTGGGCCCGTGAGCCATGGCCACTGAGCCTGTGCGTCCAGAGCCTGTGCTCCGCAGGGAGCACGGGAGAGGTCACAACAGTGAGATGCCCACGTACCGCAAAAAAAAAAAAAAAAAAAAAGTTAGTTCAGCAGGTCTTTGCAGAAGCGAGGGTCCTCATTTGGGGAGTCTCTTAGCATAGCCAACATCGGGGTCTGTGCCTGTTTTTGTAAATAAAGTTTTATTGGAACACAGCCACACCCATCCTCCCCCTGTCGTCTGTGGCTGCTTTCCTGCTACATCCCAGACAGAGACCATGTGGCCTGCCCAGACTAAAATATTTATTGTCCAGCCCTTTACGGAAAAAGTTTGCTGACTCTTAGCATAACTTTTTTTTATTTCTTGAAACTCTTAAATGAAGAGGACCCACACTGCCAGCAACTAGGCTTTGCCTGCAGCCTTCACGGACCTGCTGGTTTATTTTAACACTCGGCGATTTCTCTTCGTCCCGCACTGCCGTACCTCCAGCTCACCTCATTTCAATAACTTCTGGCTCTGAACATCTGGAACTAGAGTAATACCTCTTGTGTGTAAAGAAAGGGGAGTAATTTACCCCTGAGTATCTCGGATGTCTGATTATCCCAACCCTCGGCTGTTTTGGACTCTGCTTAATTTCTCGGAACCTCTGCTGCGTCTTACTTGCTTAAGTAGTAAACAAAATTGGAATTTAAAATAGTGATAGGAGCAGTAGTCATTGGAAAGCACTTCTTTTCTTTGGTGAGGGAGCCCGTCTGTCAGTGGATTCTGGAGCTGCCTGTCCCCGTACACATGAGAGAGAAGGGGAGCTTTAGGGAGAGCCACCATTCAAGCCTGCATTTATTTTAAAAACGAAGAGAATGCATTTCCAGAAGCATGTGCATTTGAAATATTGCTTTCCTGGGTATAGTGAGTGAAAGTTGCGTGGAATTATACAGCAAATGCCAACTTTTAAGCACCTGCCATGGTCTGTGGTATCATGTGATGGGAGGGCCAGACCAGGCTTCTTACAAACGTTAACTTAAATATTTAATAAGACCTGGATGAAATAGAGGTGCAGTTATTCCGATTTTACAGATGGGGAAACAAAGCCTCCAACTAACTGTCTTCCATGTTAACAACTAACAGACACTGCCTCCGACCTATGATAAGGAGGATATTGATTTTACACTCTAGTTATCCTTAGGTTGATATTGTAGTTGGGGATCTAATTTCCGATTAGTACTTGGTATAGGAAACTGTCAGCAGTGAATAATTGGGACATTTTCCAAGCATGTGCAGAAAATATAGTTGGTCCAAAAACAGAAGCATGTAGGTTTAGGGTTGTCGGCCTTTCCAGCTGAAATGATTGTTCCTAAACAAAACACTGATCGTAACTATCTTCTCCTTAAAACTTTTCAGTGCTCCGCCACCCAGGCCCTTAGTACAAAGACCAGAGTCTTTATTTTGGTGCTTGAGGCCTTTCTGGTTGGGCGCTGCCTCTCAGTACCTCGTCCTAATTCACTCCAGTCAGACCAGGTCCTGCATTTGGATGTTTTCCTGAACACCATCTCTACCTTGTCCCTCTGCCTGGCTCGCTCCTTCATCTTCACATCTCAGCTGAGATGTCACTGGATCCAGGGAAGCCGCGTGTCCTTCCCTTGCCCCGCCCTAACATAAGGCCTTTTACACTGCTGTTCACTTGTTTACTGGTTTGTCTGTTGTCCATCACTAAAGCTTCTGGGAGGCATTCTTTTCAGTTTTGACTCTGTAGTTACAAGGAATAGGAATCTACTCTAGCTTGCTAATACAAAGGGAGTTTATTGGGAGGAAATAGTGGAAGAATAAGGAGATCTTGGTGGAAATTTAAGAACCGGGTCTGTAAGAAGGTGCACCTTGCAGATGCATGTTGTGGCTTTCTGAGCACATGGTTCTCTTCGCCTTTCTCTCTCCTGTGGGCTGCCTCAGCTCAAGCGCATGTCTGTTTTGTTTTATTGAAGTATAGTTGATTTACAGTGTTGTGTTAGTTTCAGGTGTACAGCAAAGTAGTTTCGGTTATTTTTATATATATATATATATATATATATATATATGTACACACACACACACACACACATATATCTATTTTCTTCAGATTCTTTTCCCTTATAGGTTATTAGTAGAGTTCGCTGTGCTCTACAGCAGGTCCTTATCATTTATCTATTTTATATATAGTAGTGTGCATCTGTTAATCCCAGACTCCTAATTGATTCCCCCCGCTTCTCCTTCGGTAGCCATAGGTTTGTTTTCTATGTCTGTGTGTCTGTTTCTGTTTTGGAAATAAGTTCATTTGTACCACTTTTTTAGATTCCATGTGATAAGCACACGTGTTCCTGAAGCTGCTCATGGCCTCAGTTTGTCCTCATAGCCTAGCCTGGACTCGCCGGCCCTGCGACCCTCCTAATCTCATGACTTCATTTCCTGCCCCCCACTCACATGGTTTCTCAGTTTCCCAGTTGCAGATTTTCAGGCAAGCACTCTGGTTGGCCCGGCTCAACCTTTGCGGCTGGGCCATGCATGTCACAGGTCTCTGGCAGTGCTGGAGGTGGGCTCTGGTTGGGTCAGGTCCTCCCTGCAGACCAGTCAGAACTGTCGTCAGCTGGAGGGCCTCCCAGGGTAGACTTCTCTTTTCCTTTTCTCTCTCTGACCCTCACTTTCAATAAACTTGATAGTATCCTTTGTTGTTTTTCCTCCTTTTCAGATATCATTAATGGAGCTCAAGAAAAATGCGTATTGCCTCCTATGGATGGCTACCCCCATTGCGAGGGGAAAATTAAGGTAAGGCAGAAGGGATGTCCATTCGTCCCCATCCTCCTTAATCTGCACGAACAGCCGCTTGCTTCCCCCACCCTCCCTTCTTCTCCCCAGCGATACACATGGGCAAGCGAGCCCTTTAAGGGAGTCATTTAAGGGGCGCCTCAGTCCTGCCAGTTAGGGGCTGTGGCCATGACAACCCTTCCCTGCTTATGCCAGCTCTGTGGGGTTAGTCAACAGTGACTAAGTGGCCAGACTGAAAGGGCTGGGCTATTGCAGGCACCTGCGGTGGCTTTGAAGCTGTCACTACCACCCCCTTCCCATCCTCCAGCAGGTGATCCTTCAAGGGCCAAAGACAAGGGGCTGCCATTATTTAGTATCCACCTTCCCTCTGCCCCAGGCCTCTGCTGTGAGGTCTCCAGATCGAGCTTTCATTGTCACATTTGCATGTGCAGTCGAGTACCCAGACACTCTTGGCCATTCTTTGACTCTTAACATTTTTTTTCATCCCATTTATACGGCCAGCCCTTGGGGAGACCACTCTCCTTCGCAGTGGTTTGCAGAGAAAAGTTAGTGTTCAAGCGCCACGTAGGATGGTGAGACCAAACCACAGGGCGTTTACCTAGCCTCCGTTTGGGACTCACCGCACGCTGAGCTCCTGCCCTCGTCCGTGCGCTCTCTCCCAGGCACTGTGCCGAGGCTTGTGAAACTGTAGTTCTCCGGGGAGGGGACTCTGATGCCGGGGCACTGCATTAGGCACTTGCTCTTGATAAAACACTCCTTGCCGTTGCTTCTCCCGGGCTGCACTGCAGGGTGTGTCTCATGGCCTCTGTCCACTCCAAAGGCCTCTGTGCTAAGGCCCAGCTCAAGCCACGGTCGTCCAAGAGCTGAGCATCTGTCTCCTGACCTCAGCCCAGGGATCCCGAGCTTCAGGCCACGGCTTGAGCCAGCCCGCTCCCCCTCCGAGCCCTCGCCGTCTCTGTTGGCAGGTGTGCCTGGCCGCAGAGATCAGGCTGCTCATCGGCGTTCTCGCCTTCTCTGGTTGTTTCAGTGGATGAAAGATATGTGGCGCTCGGATCCCTGCTACGCAGAATACGGAGTGGATGGGTCCACCTGCTCTTTTTTTATTTACCTCAGTGAGGTGAGTAGCTTCTTGTGGCTTTGTGGGGTGGGGGTGGACGGTCTGTTCTGTAGCTGAGCCTGGAATCTGAAAGGCTGAAAAACAGGTATTGTTTTCCCACGAAGGGCCTGTGATTCCCTTCTGCGTGACTCTCCTCTGTCCCCAAGTAGCGTGACTTTTTTTTTTTTTCTCCTTGAGGGAAGAATAGTCTGAGTTCACTGTTTAATTTTTTCCCAATTAAAAAAAAAAGGTAGTAAAATACACCTAACACAAAAATGTAGTAAAACTTCTTAACCGTAAAGTGTAAAGTTCAGCGGCCTTAAGTCCGTTCACACTGCGACCGTCACCACCATCCATCCATCTCCAGAATGCTTCATCTTGCCAACCTGAGACTCTGTTCCCGTTAAACCGTAACTCCATGTTCCCTCCCTTCTCCCAGCCCCGGCAAACACCCTTCTACTTTCTGCCTCTGACCGTGACTACTCCAAGTACTCCTATAAGTGCAGTGTAGAGTATTTGTCTTTTTGTGATGGACTGATTTCACTTCGCATAGTGTACTCAAGGTTCATCCATGTTGTCCATGTGTCAGTGTGTCCTTCCTTTGTAAGGCTTAATAATATGTTCCATTGTGTGTATAGACCACATTTTGTTACCCATTCATCTGTCAAATGGACCCTTGGATTGCTTCCACCTTTCAGGTATTGTGAATAATGTTGTTATGAACGTAGGTGTACACATAGCTCTTTGAGGCTCTGCTTTCAATGCTTTTGGGTATAGATCCAGAAGCAGAGTCGCTGGATTATATGGTAATTATATTTTTAATTTTTGGGGGAACCACCAAACTGTTTTCCACAGCGGCTGCACCATTTTACATTCCCACCAACAGTACACAAGGGTTCTAACTTCTCCACATCCTTGCCAGCACTTGTTATTTTCTGGTTTTATTATTATTATTGTTTTTTAGTGGCCTTCTGAATGGGTTTGAGGGGGTATCTCACTCTGGTTGTGGTTTGCATTTCCTTAATGATTAGTGATGTTAAGCATATTTTCATATGCTTATTGGCTGAGTTAGCTATCTACTTACAGGCTGAATTATTTACTTTTTTCCCCTTTTTATCTGAATTTCATTTGTACCCTTGAATTTAAATAGCAGCTTTTTTTCCTTTTTTTTTAAGGGCTACATGGCATTTTACAGACCACATGGAATTTGTTACATGCTTTAGGGATCTCCATTTCACCTTTAGAAAGGTTAAGGGGATAGGGTGGGGTTAAGACTTTATCCAGCGCCAGTTACTGGGAGAGAACTGAGTAGGGAATGAAAACTCACCGGCTGCCCCCCTCCCCACCCCCGTTATGGGCAGGGGCAGCAGCCCTAGGGGCTTGTGAAACAGAGGCCAGCTAATTTCTGAGGATGTGCACTTGGCAGGCTCTTGACTGCCTTTTTTTTTTTTTTTTTTTGATTCGTGCCCCCTGGTTTTGGTTCTCTTGCTGTTTCATCAGTAGTTTAATAACAGCTCCCTGGTGATGCCATGCAGAAAGGAGAATGCCTCCATTTTGAAGCTAAATGAAATGTTTTTGCCATAGTTTCCCTTGTGGGATTCAGGTACCTCTTCTCTCTGGTATAAGGTGACAGGGACAGTTTTGGGGATGGAGGCCAAGCCAGTATTGCTATAGGGCATGTGGCCCTGGAATCTGTGGGGTTTGTCCCTCTTCCGCACCCTCACTTCTCTTCCTTCTGTAAGATCCAGTCAGACTTTTTTTTGCCAAGGTTTGCTCCACGGCCACCCCAGGGCCATCATGGGAACCGTCAGAGTTAGTGACAGTTAAAATGCCTCTTGGAAACGAAAAGCACTGAGAGGTTGGGTGTGTGATGCACTTCATTAGGTGGCTGCTGGCCAGTTGACTTTGTAGCATGTACTTGAGTGTGTTTGGAGCTTGGGTGGCCTGGGGCCGGCCTCATTTTCTTCTCCGGAGGAGTAGGGCCTGGGGCTATGGGTGAACCTTCACTCTAATGAGAAGTCAGTTAGAGGCACCTTTCCTGCCCTGAGGAAAAAGTTCCTCATTTAGTTCAGTTTTCAAAAGTTTTCTTCCCATTTCCATTTGATAGAACTTAGCCAGAGTCTAACCGGGCTCCCTGATGGACAAGCTGAGCTCATTTCATGCCTTCCAGCATCTCGGGGAGGATTGCCTGAGGTGAAGGGACAGAAAGAGGATTTGACGTGCTCACTCCAGCCTGTGTGTCCATCTCCCAAGCCAGAGCTGGGGAGGGGTGGGAGAATGGTCCAGGTGGACAGGGGCTGTAATTATATATGACCTGGTTCCCTTCCTTTGAAACTGCCACCCTACCCCTACCGACAGGGAAGGAAGGACCTAGTTAAGATGAGAGAAAAGGGAGATTCTGGTGCAGGTAAACTGAGAGGAGTGTGGGATAGATGGGGCCGCATAAAGATGTGATGGATCATGTAGCCTTCATATTGGAGCCTGGGTGTTTCCTTGCAGAACCTTTAACTATTTTTTCTCCTTTCGGGATGTGGAAGGGTACTTCATTTGCCTCTTCTACTCTCTTCTTATGCCTCTTCTACTCTCTTCTTATGCAAATGATCAGACCTTTCTTTCTGCAACACTGAATTCAGTTCAGTGAGCACTTACTGAACATCTATTGTATTCACTGATTGTCAACAATTACTGAGGACTCATTTACTTGGCACCATGCTACGCATTCATTATCTTTCAAGTCTAATGGAAGAGGAAGCATGGATACAGGTAATTAAGCCAGGAAGGGGTCCTGGGAAAGAACTAGGAACTTCTTTTTAAAAGTTTTAATCTGAAAATTACCTTGAAACTCTGGCCTTTTAAAAAAATTTTCCATTTTATCAAAGCATCTTAACAGGGACCCTGTAAGAGAGGAAAATTTAACCAACATGGCCACTTGAATAGGCAGTACTGCCTTAGAGCCTCGTAGCTGACTTAAGCTTCCGTTTCTAATGCTTTCTAAACACTGTGCTCTTGGAAAAGTTGTCCTCTTTGTGCCTCAGGTTCTTCCTTTATCATATGTTTTAATCTTGTTTTTAAAGGATCCTGCCGTGAGAATTCCTGAGCCTATATGGGAGCATGCTTAGAGTAGAACCTGGCAAATAAATGATACTCAATTTGTAGAACCGACACTTTTATGATAGGTTTTTTGGGTTTTTTGTTTTACTTCTTTGTGGGGAGTGGTTATTTATTTATTTATTTTTATTGAAAGAAAGTTGATTTACAATGTTGTGTTAGTTTCAGGTGTACAGCGAAATGATTCAATTGTATATAGTTATATATTCTTTTCCAGATTCTTTTCCCATGTAGGTTATTACAGAATATCAAGTAGAGTTCCCTGTGCTATACAGTAGGTCCTTGTTGATTATCTATTTTATATATAGTAGTGTGTATATGTTAATCCCAAATTCCTTATTTATTCCTCCCCCTCACCTTTCCCCTTTGGTAACCATTAGTTTGTTTTCTGTGTCTATACATGATAGGTTTTTGATATTGCCATTATTTGAGTACAGTTGTGGGGTGTCACTTAGCCTGTGACATTTTATGTGGGACCTTGATTCTGTCTTAGAATTGGAATCAATTTCTGGTTCTCATTCACCAGTCTCACTTAATTTTAGATCCCTAGGCTTCTGGTAACAGAAATTCAGCTGTTCCCCTTGACTTCCTTTGTCAGGATGTGCAACTTGTTCACAGTTAAATCGTGAACCGGATGCATGGAACAGCAGTACCCCTCTGCCGTTGGCTACATGAAATTATTAGGGATGTTTCCTAAAGCCACTTAATTGTGTTCTAGTATTCTGTAAATCCTGGACAACATCTATGGCTTTGTGGTGATGTATTTTGTCTAGTTTTTTTTTTTCCCTCTTGCTTTCTTTCCATCTTTTGTTACTTCATTTAACCTGTATCGTGTGCCTGGTTACTCTTGCAGTTGGTAAAATGATTGAGAGAGACATCTTCATTTGGTTTGTTTACTTGATCAGTGGATGTACTGGCGACTTTCTTTTCTTAATCCTCACCGAAGAGCCAATTCTTGTTTCCGTCTATGTTTAACTGCAGAGCTTTGACAGATATAAAAGAGGACATGAAATAAAATGTCTCCTCTATAGTCAGTCACCGGTTGAACTGAGGCATTTAGATTCAGACCAGTCTTAGGAGATAGCGCTCTTCCTGCATTTTTCTTTCCCCCAGTTGTCTCAGTGTGCCAACTCTGCTGAATTATGGGAGTATAAACTTCTGCTTTTACCTTCACCAACTTGTAGTCTCCCAGCCTTTTATGGGAAATCCCAGGAGGTAAAGCCATCAGTGTTTCCCCTTCCATTATCCCCACGGATGCTTGTCGTATGTCTGATGTTGTATTAGGGACTGGGTGTGATGCTAAAAGTCTCGCCATTGCCCTTGTTGAGTGGCAGACAATAAGAATGAAACATGGCTGAGCTGCACTGTGTGCCTGACACCTCAAATACACAGCGTCATTTCAACCTCTCCCCATCTCTGAGTAGTAGAGAGCCGCATCCTAGAGGCTCCGAGAGGTTAAGTTGCTTAGTGCTTCTGCATCGACCATTCCTGTTTCCCTTTCACGTCAAACGAAAGCTGAACTCAAGTGCAGTCGTTTGTCACCATTGCCTTTGCATTCGGTTCTATGCTTAAATCCACCTGTGTTTGAAATATGGCTCTAAGTTAGCTGGTTTCCATTAATCAGTCTTCATTGCTAGTTTAATACTCATAATTTTAATACTTTATCCCCCCTGCCAAAAAAAAAGGAAAAAAAAGAAACGGTGCCAGTCCTCCTGAACATATAACTCGTGGAAACCAGGTACTTAGCCATTGCAAGTGGTGAGGGTTGAAAGAATGATACATTAAGCAGCCTTGCGTTTCCAGATCATCGAGCAGTTCATTTTCTGTGTCTGTTTTTGTGAGCCATGTAACTAACTACTCCCATTATAGACACAAGACCCTATAAAGTAATTACTCTAAATGTCATTGTTTCA